ACGCTACACAAAACAAATAGCAACACCTATAAAAACTATTTAAAAGAAAAGGGGCTACTATATCGACCTATAAAGTATATAAATATAGTTTTTTTATATAAAAAAAAAATAGAAGACTATATAGACCAAAAAGATCCTGCATTTTAGCCATGCCTCATTTAGCTCTATTTGCTCTTTCCAGCGCTGTTTTTGCAGGGGGCTGATTCTGTGAGCTGCAGCTGACCACGCCCCCCTGCAGGAGAGGGGAGCATGCTCTGAGATCAGCTGCTGGGCTGTCAGAAGAGGGGGAGCAAAAGAGATCTCCGTCCTCCGTGTTTTATTCTTATAGAAGTAAGAAGAGAAGTAATGGGGCAGAAACCCTCCTTTTTACGCAGCGGTCCAGACATAGACATCAAACGGCGACACATATTCAGTTGCCAGTTACTTAGTCATTAGGGCAGGGATATCTAGATACTTTCCAAGGTTTGACATCATGAATTGTGCTACTTTTAAAGCAAGCAACGATGTTTTCAAATCTGTAATCAAAAAGCTCCTCAAAAACACTATCGAAGCAGTTCCTGCCGTTGCTACGTTAGTTCAAAGGGTAACAACGGACTTAAATCAATAAAATCATTTTCTAAATCCATAAAAGCATTTAAATTAATATTGGGAGTCATGTCGTTACTTTGTTGAGAATGTGGCCGTGTAATAAGCGGGATAATGTGCACATTGCATAATGTGCCTTCAAGCCGATCTAGATCCCTCCGCAAAAAAACTAAAAACCGGCTCGTTTATCCCCTGCAATTATTATTATCCCTCAATCGAGTTCGCTATTCAGCTCGCTAACGTTAGCTTAAACAAACGTAACATGCAACGTTAGCCTAATCTAAAATGCTCTACTACGGCGTACCTTTCATGTGGCTCGTCAGCGCAGACTCTTGCATCGTTATGTTTGCAAACTTTGCAGGAGGCTACTCGTGGGCTTGACCCTCGTCTTAGCCATGGCTTGTATTTATTTGTCTTCTGCTAGCCAATGCTCGTTGAAACGGCAACCTCCTGGCACACAGTCATCTATCACTCTCATCAGAATGCCCAGGTCACACGTAACACAAACACTTGCAGGTCGCGCGCATAGCGCGGGAAGGTCGCAGCGGAGCTGTTTTATGTAGAAGCGAAGCAATTATTTTCTTTTAATCTAAAAAGCGAACTATTCAGTCAGACAGACATTTATTGTAAAAGTAAAGCATTTACATTTTCAAGCACTTTATCTCAATTTCAAGCACCATTCCCAAAATTCAAGCACTTTCCCAACCTTGAAAACACCACGTCAAATTTCAAGCATTTTCAAGGATTTCAAGCACCCGTACGAACCCTGATTACAGCAACATTTGGAGTACAATATGGGGCATCACAGTAAAGGCAGAGAAATACAACACTATGCGCTGAATTTCAAAGCTATGCCAAGAATGCTGTCAGTCAAATTACTTCACCACCACTAAGTTAAAGGAGGCTAATGTTTGCCGTGGTGAGCTTTAGTAGCCTCATTTAGCCACTTGTTAGCATCCGCTGTTTTTGTGACAATCAGAAGCTTCAGACATTCACCAGTGAGGTGTTTACTGACATCCATCCATCCATCCATCCATCCATCCATCCATCCATCCATCCATCCATCCATCTTCTCCCGCTTATCCGTGGTCGGGTCGCGGGGGTAGCAGTTCCAGCAGAAAGCCCCAAACTTTCTTTTCCCTGGCCACATCAACCAGCTCTGACTGGGGGATCCCAAGGCGCTCCCAAGCCAGCAAAGAGATATAATCCCTCCACCTGGTCCTAGGTCTACTCCTTGGTCTCTTCCCAGCTGGACGTGCCTGGAACACCTCCCTAGGGTGGCATCCTAACTAGGTGCCCGAACCACCTCAACTGGCTCCTTTCGACGCGAAGGAGCAGCGGTTCAACTCCGAGTCCCTCCCGGATGACTGAACTTCTCACCTTATCCCTAAGGGAGACACCAGCCACCCTGCGGAGAAAACCCATCTCGGCCGCTTGTATCCGCGATCTCGTTCTTTCGGTCATGACCCATCCTTCATGACCATAGGTGAGGATAGGAACGAAAATGGCCCGGAAGACAGAGAGCTTTGCCTTCTGGCTCAGCTCCCTTTTCGTCACAACGGTGCGGTAAAGCGACTGCTGTACCGCTCCCGCTGCTCGGATTCTCCGGCCCATCTCACGCTCCATTGTTCCCTCACTCAAGAACAAGACCCCGAGATACTTGAACTCCTTCACTTGGGGTAAGGACTCATTCCCTACTTGGAGTAGACAGTCCATCGGTTTCCTGCTGAGAACCATGACCTCAGATTTGGAGGTGCTGATCCTCATCCCAGCCGCTTCACACTCGGTTGCGAACCGATCCAGTGAGTGCTGAAGGTCGCAGACCGATGAAGCCATTAGAACCACATCATCTGCAAAAAGCAGTGGTGCAATCCTTAGTCCACCGAACTGCAGACCCCCTCCCCCACGACTACGCCTCGAAATCTGATCCATGTATATTACAAACAGGATTGGTGACAAAGCGCAGCCCTGGCGGAGGCCAACCTTCACCGGAAATGAGTCCGACTTACTGCCGAGGACCCGGACACAGCTCTCGCTTTGGGAGTACAGAGATTGGATGGCCCTGAGTAGAGACCCCCTCACCCCATACTCCCGCAGCACCTCCCACAGTAACTGGGAACTCGGTAATACGCCTTCTCCAAGTCTACAAAACACATGTAGACCAGATAAGCGTACTCCCAGGCCCCCTCCAGGATCCTTGCGAGAGTAAAAAGCTGATCCGTCGTTCCACGACCAGGATGGAATCCGCATTGTTCCTCCTCAATCTGAGGTTCGACAATCGGCCTGACCCTCCTTTCGAGTACCTTTGAGCAGTGCTTCTCAAATTGTGGTCCGCGGACCACTGGTGGTCCGTGAGCGCCCCCTAGTGGTCCGTGAGTATATTGGTAACATTTCACATTTGAAATAAATAAATACATTTAAGTTTTCCGCACTCTCGCGGGAATATCTCCGCAATGAAACGAGCTTACGTTTCTATTGCATGATAAAGCCCAGGGCAACACCTTCGTCACACATGTTGCCACTTGTTTGTACCATTTTCAGGCGATTTATAATCTGTTCTAGAAAAACGATGTGTTTTGGGATATTTGTGGAGTTAGGTGATCCGCGAGTGTTTTTTTATTGGTTAAGTGGTCCTTGGTATGAAAAAGTTTGAGAAACACTGCCTTACAGTAAACTTTCCCGGGGAGGCTGAGTAGTGTGATGCCTCTGTAATTGGCACACACCCTCTGACCCCTCTTTTTGAAAAGGGGAACCACCACCCCGGTCTGCCATTCCTTCGGTACTGTTTCCGACTTCCACGCAACGTTGATGAGACGTGTCAACCATGACAGTCCCTCAACACCCAGAGCCTTCAGCATTTCTGGGCGGATCTCATCCACCCCCGGGGCTTTGCCACTGTGGAGTTGTGTTTACTGACATACTTTATTTAAAAAAATATAACATGAAAAACTCTTAAGATTGTGTTAACTGCAGACCTTATTTCAGGCATTTAACCAAATACACGCTCAAGAAACCATTGACTTCAAGACGAGGTAACCGGAAGTGCTAAAATGCTAACTTATTCCTGCACCACTTTATTACCACAAATCACTTTGGGCTATTGCATCTTGTAACGGCAATTCATCACAAACTCTTGAAATCAATGAAACAACTTTTTGTTTACATTTATTTGAAAAGGAAATAAGCGGCATCATCAAGTTAAACAGGCCACCAGTGACTGTAGTTGTGACTTAATGAGTCTGTGAATTTACTGAATTTAAACTGCACATAGAACACCCCAAAGGCAACTCTAAAGTGTAAGAAATGTAACAAATAGCCCTAACTAGTCCTGCCAGGTCAGACTTCAGGTTTCATTCTTTACAGTAGCCTCAAGGATGGACAAATACTTGAAATACTGTTGATCATTTAATGTAAATTTGTTGAGGTTCAATAAATTCTTGTTTATTGTCAGAAATTAATGTTGACTTGTGTCTTATTACTTGCTTTAGACTAAATTAACTTGAAGATGAAGGACATACGTGTTTTGAGTCGGCCTTAACAATAGTACAAGTTTGCTTCAGACAGGGACATATTGGTAAGAAGACAGACCACTTGTTTAGATGGACAAAATGAATTAATTTTCATATTGATTACAATGATAGATGTTTGGTTTGTTGTTGCTACTTAGAATATGAAATTCAATGCAAGGCTTTTGTGAGTGAAGAAGAAGCCTTGGATTTATCCTTTTTTTTTAAGTTGTAAAAGCAATCTCACATTCGGATTTATTTAAAAAAATATATAATCAATATAAGCTATTATAATAAATGTTAAAAACTAAAAATGACATAATTCACAAACAAACACACACAATCTGTCATGTAAAGCTTTACCCACTTCCCAGTTTAGAGCAAGCACTCTCTCATAAACAAAAAGGCACAAACACACTTTTACAATTCCAATTTGACATATACGCCAATCATGAGACACATTTATGTGATACCTTATGATAACTTGAGGTATTTTCAGCATACATAATTGAAACCTGTTTCTATGCAAACGTGCATGTATGGGCGACCCAAACACTCACTGTTATTGCCTGTTTGGTTGTAAAAACGTTGCTGAATGTCCTTCACCAAGCAAACTGACCAGGTGACATTTTATAGACAGCTCTACACTGTGACTACAGCTCTCACGTGGTGCAGAATGAAGAGATTTGTGAACGGGGTTTGGCACGGTTCTGCCTCCATATCCAGCACAGCAGAGCCCGGGACGGACTGCAGCGGCACAAACACTGAAGATGTCCCGGGCTAACGTAAGAGCTAAGCCCCCCAACCAGGAATAGGAGGTAAACTCCGACTGACCCAGAGCAGATAAACATTGTGGCGTAATAGCTAGTTATGTATGAGCACGTAAACATTTAAATCAAGGTAACTTACATGTTTGCTGCGGTGTTCTGGCTCCTCTCCTCACACACAAATCGTTCTTTAACTGGAGAAGAAGAAGAGCTGCTGAGTGTTGTTCCGAGCACAGCCTCTCTCTCAGTCCATTATATTAACAGCGTCCTGTCAGGTAAAAACATCCACTATCTCCGCTCACTGAGCAGCTTTCTTCTGTGAACTGCAGCGTTCACTTAATCAGCATCAAGCTCTCAGCAAGTAATGTCAACACTTCCGGTCGACACTTTCAAAATAAAATATCGCTTGGTCGACTACCACTATACATCCGGTCATCACCAACTACTCACATGCAGTTCACTGTAGGCTCGGTGATTTAATTGATTGATATTTTTGATAAAGTGACTGATTTTCAATTTGTTGAGAACATTTATTTATAAATCACATTTCGTATTTGATTAAAGCTTTAAGAGCTGTTTAGAAATATATTTTTTGTTTTTAATATAAGTGTGTATATAGATAAATATAAAAGCCTAAACAATGTTAAAATATAATAAATGTGCATTGTCATCAACTAAAAATAAATAATCTCCCTGGCTAACTTTTGATAAAATGACCAAAAATCATGCATGTGCTGATCAGAAACATTACAATAATTTTAACCCAATTTAGTTTTTTTCCCGAATCTTCGTAATAATCTTCTACTCTGACCTCTAACTGACCCCCCATTACATTCCCTAACAGTGTTTATGTTGGAAAATATACAAAATATTCTGACCCCTTATGTCTCACCACTTCCACAACAAAGTGATGTCCTTGCATGCCATCACATAGCATGGATGTTAAAAAAAGACTTATGTCGCCATCTGCTGGATATTTAAGATTAGCAAGTATATAGCAAGTCAATAGGGACCTGGCAGATAGATCCAACAGATACATAAAACAATCTGTTAACTTTAAACTAAACATTTCATATCAAATGGTATAAGTACAATCAACGGAGAACTCCATGAGCAAACTCACAGTGGTTCCTTTGTTCTGCCTGCAGTCTCTGTAGGGAAAGAAGTTGAGTCACAGGCCTGAAGGGTAGAGTTTTATACGTTTGGGGAGTCATCTTCACTTGATTGACATTCTATTGATAGGTAGAGAGGAGATCTACACCTATTTTCACCACCTGATGTATAATACTATGCAAACATACCAACTTATATTCAGGGTTCATTTCAGTGACTTTGCATCTGCTTCAAAAGTCCAGTTAAGATAAGATAAGATAAAATGGACCTTTATTAATCCCCGTGGGGAAATTCAGTGGTTTAAACGGTAACAGGGTAAGAATGAAAAACAGGACAGCACAGATTCACACAGATTAATACAATTAAAGGTAAAATCAAAGATAACAATACAAATGATTAAAACAACTATGAAATAAGAGATGAACTAAAAATGAACATATATACATGTTTGGTCATATATATTAGATATATTATTTATATGAATGTGTGGAAACAGTGTGTATTTTATGTCCAGTAATTGTGTCAAATTGTTGACCCCTTGTTGTGCAACCTGATGGCTACAGGCACAAAGGACTGTCCGCGGCGCTTGGTGCTGTGTCGAGGAGGGATGAGTCTGAGGATGATGGTGCTCCTCATCTTCACTAGCTCTGCTTGGAGGGGGTGGGAGGGGTTCTCTAGGGGTTCCCAAAGTGGGGGTCGCGAGATGATTTCAGAATCCTCTTGATGTGACCCCTGAGGTGTTTTAAAAAATAGATATATATATATTTTTTTTATTATTATTTGTATTATTATTAATAATAATAACGTGTGCATAGACATTTTTTATTATGTAAGTCTGTTTAATAGGTAAGCTGGACAAATAAAGGAATTTTGATTCTGACAGATTTACGACAGTATCATTTGCAGCTCAAAGGTCACTTTACAGCATGGGGTGCCCAACCTTTTTTGAACCGAGAGCTACTTTTAAAGTTGCCAGTCTGCCGAGATCTACCAGTCCAAATAGAGAGGCGTAGCCATTACTGACAGCCTACTACCAGGTAAATACACACTTCTACTTGTATAAAACTGACCTTTGTACGATCAATACTCCATACTGCAGATCCTTTATCTCACCTCTTTCTAATCTACACACATACAAGTATTTAACTGAAGTTACACAACAGTGTTGTTGATACAGAGTTGGAGTTTATTCACACGTCACAGTGGGTAATGTTTTCAAGAAACATTGAACAGTGCTGCCACATATGACACAGGAAAGAAAGAAAAGACTCTGAACCCTTTCTTTGCCATTATATAAAAATAGTGTTGCTACAAAAGTATAAATTAGGCTTACTAATAAGACAACTCAGATCTGAAGCTACACAGGAATCTGCTGCCAAAGTGCAATAAAAAAGACAAAATTAATAGAATCAAACCTTTTTTTTGTTGCATTTTAGTAGATTATAAAAATAAATGCCTTTAAAATAGGATGCAACACTAGTTTCTTAACCTGAATTGATAATAGACTATAATCAATTTAAGTTTGCATTCTTATACCATTTTGTACAATAATTATAATTAATAAATTCAAACAAACTAAAACTTACAGCTGATTAATAACGGTATCCAACTTGAGTTTTTATTATATCAAAAACCTGTTGAAATGCTTCTGTTATTTTCACTGTCCCCAAAAAGCGCGTCGGCAGCCTCCAGGAAAGCTTCTTTCACAACTTCGCCGTCTTTGAAAGACTTCATGTGTTTCGCAAGAACGTGACTGACACGATAAGATGCTATGGTAGCAGCCTTGCTCTTGTTGTTGGGCCTGGTGAAAAGGGACTGCTGTGCATTTAGCTGTCCTTTCAGGCCCCTCCCCTTTTGGGAGCGGAGGGCAGAATTAGGAGGGAATTCCGTCTCGTAGCGTTTGTGCACTGTTTTGAAATGCCGCTCCTAAATGACCCTTCTTCGATAAAGCCACGCTCGCATTGCACATGAGACAGATGGACTTTGAATTAGAATAGATACAAAAATAATCATCCTCCCACTCGGAGTGAAAATTATATATTTTGGGCTTTTTTGCTTCTGCCATAATTGCGGTATTGTGTGTGTGCGGACTGTCACTCCTGTTGACATGGACAACGTCAGCGAAATAGTGCCCACTGCCCACCAGCCACGCCCCCACACATGGGGTCACGCCGGCCAATCACAAAGCTTTGGTGCGTTCAAGTGCATTATTCTGTCACGGGAAGATTATGATATAGGACATTAACGATAAAACAGAATATTGTTGTTCTATTTTTAGACACATCTCACATCTCGCGATCGACTGGGAATCTCCCCGCGTCGACCGGTCGATCGCGATCGACTGGTTGGGCACCCCTGCTGACAGCACCACAGTAAATATCACAGACGTAAAACACACATCAACTACTAGTATATTTCTTCTGAACAGCTCTTTAATACATCAAAATGAAACGTTGGTTAATTCCAACTAGTGAGAAGGCAGACAGACCAGCGGAGAAGGCAGCGGAGGAGAGCGGAGAGCCGCCATCACAAAGGCCGTCGACTTCTTGCGCGGGAAGAGGAGGAGGAGGAGGAGGAGGAGGAGACGACAACCGTAAGGTGGTCCATAAGCAGTCAGACCAGCCTTAATGCAAGTGTCGCAAATATCGAGAGGAATACATCCAGTACGGATTCAAATGCCTCATTATCAATGAAGCACAACATCCCCAATGTGTAGTGTGCACTGAGGTTCTTGCACATGAGCTTAAAGCCCGTAAAAAATGCTCAGACATTTAAACACGAAGCACCCCTCTCTTGCTACTAAACCAGCCGATTGTTTCCGCCGAAAGCAGAGAGAATTGCAAGGCCAAAAGAAAGTTAGAACTAACCAAACAACAATTAGGGTATTCGTTATTCTCGCGTCCCAGGAGAGAAGCTTGAAAAGTAAGAGGCCAATGGAGTCTCTGGCATAAGGTTCAAATGAGTACTTTAATTAATATGGCTCGGTAATGTTACAGGCAGAAGATGGTTCTGAGGGAGAGAGAAGCTGCAGCTTCCTCTCGCAGTGGCGGCCGTGGACAAGAGACTCAACAAAGCTCCGTCACCTGACTATTAGGGGTGTAACGGTTCACAAACATTTCGGTTCAGTACGTAACTCAGTTTTTAGGTCACGGTTCGGTTCGGTACGTTTTCGGTACAGCAGAAAAAATTATCACAAAACATAACATATTTTTTTTCAATTATTATTAAACTGTGAATAATGTATTCACTCAAATAAATACAAAATATAATAAAATAAACATTAAGGTGCAGCATTTCGATGAACTGAAATAATCTGTATTTGAACTGTACTGTACTAGTACCTAAGCAGCCAGTTTGACATAATGACTTGCTTGTCATTGTATTTTCATGTTTTTTTAAAGAAAAATGTACTTGTCCACATTGCTTGCCGAAAGGGCAGATCTGCTGGCACTAACAATGTCTCCTGCTGTGGAGAACACCCTCTCGCTAGGGACCGAGGTAGTAGCAGATACAGCCAGGTAGTGTCAGGATTATTATGTCATGTCACATGTCTATGTCTAGGTGTGGGTGTTTTTCCGTTCTCCTTGTCATGTTTTCCTCCCTATATATTGTCTGGTCTCTTTTCCCTGTGTTTTCATGTCTGTCGTTAGTTCCCTGGTGTGTCTAATTTCCTGATTGTTTTCACCTGTCACTCCTTGTGTGTCTCCTGTGCTCATCAGTGTCAGCCCCGCCCCTGATTGTTCCCACCTGTGTCTAGTTACCCTGTGTTTAAATTCCCCTGTCTCCCAGTGTTCAGTGTCAGTTCGTATTGTCTCTTGCCATGGTCAGGTCTATGCTCTTTTATGCTCAAGAATAGTTGTGTTCCTCACTACGTGAGCGATTTTCCTTTTGGTCTCATTTTTTGTCATCTCATCCTGAGATTAGTTAATGACCTTTTTTTTGTTCATCGTGTTTTTTCTTACCAGTACTTTACCTCTGTCTCCCTGTCTGCAATTGGGTCCAACATCCTAAGTGCCTGAGATCGTAACAGAACAAACTGACCAGAAATGGACCCAGCAGATGATCCTTTTGAGGTGGAACTACAAAATGTTTCCTTTTATTTGGCTTGCTGCTATGATTGGTGGAAGGGAGCGTCCAGTGTTCTGCAGAGGGAGGCCACTTTGGTAGAGGCGCACCGGTTGGCTATGGAGAAACCAGACTTGGTGAAATTCGTACCTGGCTGGATGTTGAACTT